CAGCGCCAGCAGCCGCTCCGAGCGGAAGTCAGGCAGCAGAAGTTCCTTCTTCAGAACAGAACCCGGATGCCGCAGGCACCCCGGGGTCCTTGAGAGCGAGCAGGCGCTGATCTTGCGGATGTTAAAGCTTTTTCGTGCGATGCGGATCCTGAATTCGCATTTATCGTGGAAGAAGAGCATTGCCGTTCAGGCCCAGCATCTGAGAACTTCCTTAGCAGAGTGAGCCTGCCACTTGCTCCTGATAGAAGACAGCGTCAGCCCGCGCCTATGTATCCCCAGGAAGGAGATCAGGAGGTTAATGTTGGGCATGCTGTCTCGTTTAGAGGCAGACAGCTTTACGTTTCAAATGAAGATCGCGGACAGATCATTCAGCGCGCGCTTGCTGCAACGAGACAGAAAGTTCGCGAAGCCCACATGACTGGCCCCGTTCCGCCGCATACTGAAGCCATACGCAATCAGACGGGTAATACGCTTAGGTATATTGCAGAATTTGCTGAAGACCCGATCTTCGCGTTGCTGGGCAACGTCGACCAAGATGGCGGCACATTCAACCAAGCAAAGGAGTTTCTCCGAGCCGAGTTTTACTCCGATGATGTCCCAGAAGGGTTCGCTCCGAAGTCTTTCAAGTGCCTGAAACCGTTGGTAGTTGGGGTTGATGATCGCAACAATCCAGCTGCCTTAGGCAGCATGGAGTTTTGGAGACCCCAGAGCTGCCGAGGTGACAAGTTTGCTGAGCACATAGGTAAGTGCGCGGCATATCTTACGAGGCATTGCTCGGACTATGCGAGATCATCGGGTGGCTGGGTCTACTTCGGGGACCTAGTACAGAAGATTGTTGAGGACGGATTCAGTTACCAGTCATATTCTCTCGCAGCAAAAGGCTAAGCCGCGTTGCAGCCAGAGACAGTGGAAGTGTTGGGAGTAATCCCTGAAGATAGTGAAAACATCAGTGGAACGAGCATATACGACATGTGGCAGAATTACAAGGCGTGCCCCTCGCAGATACAAGCGAGGAGAGCAGTTGCCATACCTGTCTTCAATCGCGTATGCCAGGGGCATTCCACTTTTGTTGCTTCCATTGAAAGAATGTACGTCCCATATGACCCTGGCCAAGCCAGGAGTCACGGGCCCCTTCTCCATGTCACAGACATGCGGATGTTCCTAGAATCTACAGATGGAAGGGTACGCTTTCCGAAGAAATATTCAGGGCTTTGCCCTGAAGCAGACTACGAACTGCTAAGGCTGCTTTCGACCAAGAGGAGCCCAACAATGCCCGGTGCAACGCGTATCCCCCCGTGGCTCAGCCAGCGGAGGTATGGGGAGGCTCCCCCTCCAAGGCGTTTTGTGTCTATGGGCCATAACGCACAAGAAGGAGAGCCGCCAACGGTTGGGACATGGCCCGCAGAGGACACAGTCCATCTATGGGACAAGCTCCCCAACCATAGAGATTCCTGGCCACTCATTATTGTTTTCGCTGGCCGGGTGCTCACTCGCTTCTCGTATAGAATTTGCCAGGACGGGACCCTCGTGTCTCGAGAGGTACCGAGGTTCACTGATATTGACAAGGCCGTCACTCTTGTTAGAGTTGGAAACCCAGCGGATATTGGAACACAGCAGATGTTTTGGTCCGTGGTTTTCAACCACGAATGGGCTTCGTACGAGGTGAAGTTTGACAACGAATCAGTGATCGCTTGGATTCACACTGATGAGACGCTATCGTTGGTCCCGAATCACAGGCCCCAGTTGCCGCCCGAGGCGCAAGAACGTGTTCTGTCTGTTCCCTGGACGGACGACGGTAGGTTTTTGTGCTGCCAATTTCACTGGGTGCGCACGGGCTTCGGACACTGTCAATTTTGCAACTGTCGGATCAAATGCAAACATAGAGTCACTCACGACTACATGGCCCAGACGTGGAACAGACAGATCATTCCGACATCCCTTGCGGCAAATGGACTTGAATTACACGTGAACGACCCTGATAATCTCCCCACTACGCGTGCTGAATGGATCTGTACGCGTACGAGAAGACAACAGAGAGCATCTGCGATCGTGATAAGAAATATCAGCAGTAACCAACAGCAGGAGCGCAAGTGGGCAGATGGGGCATTCACGCGGATGGCTGTTGCGGGCCAGATATTTGGGAACAGCCAGCCGGGCAACTTCCCTGCCTGGGTTCCAGAGAACGCCTCGGCTCAGCCGTCAGCGCGTCATGGCCCTTTCTTTCAGTATTTGGAACCCTTGAAACGGAGGTTCATTGAATGGCTCGCATTCTCGGCTTCGAGAGCGAGGACCCAAATTCCTCCAATTCAAGTATGGTGGCCCATGCTTTGGAAAACAGACATTGACCAGTATGCGCGCCCGATGTCTTGCCCAGCTCTGGCAGCCTTCGACTGGCCAGATCAGCGAGACGACCTCCACGAACCGATGAAAGGTTGGGAGAGATGGCAGCTCTGGATGACCAGGCAAAACATTTTCGTCCCGACACTTCGAACGATAGCCAATGCGGTAGCCATGGGAACACCGTGGATGCCTATGCCGCAGGACGATGCCGCAGACGCCGCAGGGCAAAGCCCTCGCGGACGTCTACCGGCTGCCTGGGAAAACCGCCTGGAGGCGAGACCGAGTCGTGGTTCTCGTTCTATCACTAGGCGAACAAATCAGCGTCGCGACCATCGTCTCATAGCACCGATGCTGCAACCTGCCTCCGGCGAAGCCGCGACGGCAGACGCAGACTTGCAAGTCACACTTGGCTTCACACCCCTCAGCGGGCCTAAGGCCACGATGATAACTGAAGGGGCGATCAACCTTGATCAGCCCGACGGATATTTATATAAACATTGCGAGGGCAGTTCAATAAACATACCTTTGCATGGGATTGAGGCTAGAGTAGCAATGGCACAATATGTCATTGAATACACAAGTGTTCGCTCAAATACCAATGATCCCAATAGGTTGCGACTGTCAGGGGAAACAGGACACGAAGTCCCACATCGCGAGGAACATAGTTGAAGGCAACTGGATGGCCCCTGTACAACAAATGCAACTTGGTCTTCGTATTAGTAGAGCGGTTGCCATCGTTCGCGAGATCATGAGCTCTTTATTTTCAGATGGACATGTTGTTGATTACCCGGGGCGAACAATTCGCGCCGCGGGTGGGAGCACAGATGATGCTAATTATAAGCGACGGAAGGATGCATATGCCCTCGACTGTCGCATCCGCGCTGCGGTTCAGACGGACGACCTCATAGAAGAGTGGGCCCGCAATTTAGGTAGACAGGTGCGAACCGACATTCGTCGCCAGGGCTCACTGCTACAGGAGGCCATTTATTTGTTTCAAAACAGGTATGTAGATGCCAACACGGAGCTCCAAGATAAGGACGCAGGCCCGTTCCGTACTGCATGCGGTAAATTTGGCATTCCAGTAGCTACAGCTGCTAGGAATTTGCTGAAGTTCATTCGCGATCGAGAGCGGAATGTTCGTGAGAGCGGAGGCGCCAATGAGCCCCACGGCAGCCCAGCTGGTTCGGCGAGGCCGAGACGACCACAGGACGCGGCGAAAGCGAGGCCGCTACCGCCACCTCCGCCGCGCAGACCCGACGTCTCAGACGCTCGGGCTGGCGAAGAAGTTACCGAATCCCCATGCTCTGCCACCGGCGCAGCCGTGTCGGCAAGAGAGGAATACTCGTGGTATTCTGACACACGGGATTGGTCGAGGCCCCAGCGCGCGCGCGATGGAGCCATGGATGTCGGCCGCGGCGCTGCTGGCTACGACCCGCTCGTCTCCCACCCGCACTGCGCAAACGACGTGCAGGTCGGATGCTACGTCCATAGGGATCGGATCTGGTGGCTGTCCAACGACGTCTAGTGGTCGCAGCTGTGGCACGTCCTGTCTCTGGCTGAACATGAGCATCGCTTCCCGCTGAAGGGGGAGGCGACCAATAACGAAGACAAGCACTACAGAACAGCGCACTACGCTGGCCGTGGCAAAGGAAGGTCCCGCTCGCCTCGTGGCGGCGAGGGACAGACTGGAGGTTCGGCGCCATCGAACCCGAGGCCTCCGACGCCACCGCGGGGGACTACAACCCGTTCGAGGACCTGGATTGAGTCCGGCCCGCGTGACTTAGTCGCTGCAGGCGCATGCAAGGGAGTTCTCGCCGCGCGACGAAGTCGTGTCGGACGAGTAAAGCAGCTCTGCCGATCGGCGAAGCCGAGCCGGCGAAGAGAATTTATTCGTCGGGCCCCTTCGGCCCTTAGCCCCCTGGTGGCCACCGTTCAGCGGGAGAAGTTTTTGGGGTTCGCTCCGGTGGTTTTACACATATATATATATATATATATATAGGCCAGGGGTGTTGTGGCCGGATGGGCTCTACGAGGCCCGCCGCGGGGGGAGTAAATATGCTCCTCTCCGCTTCATATTCATGCTGTTTTTCACATCACTTGCTTTGCTGCGCACTGTGTGACTATCTGCAGCTCTGTTGTACTCAAGCTACGCGTGCGTGTACAGGAGATAAAAGGAGCGTGCTAGCTCGCACGCGCGCGCCGAGGGGTCGTCGGCCGGCCGGCCCCCTCACTTACTATTCCTGATAGAGTACATTTGTCTACCGGTTACTTGTCTTATCGATGTCATATCCCGTACCCTCTACCACTGAGCAGAGTGAACACAAGACCTTAAGTCCTTTGTCATTTTACCCCTGACTCCCGGAGGAAATACTGATGATGATGATGATGATGATGATGGCGTTGATGACGATGATGATGATGATGATTATGATGGTGGTGGTGACGACAATGATGATGTTGATGATGATGCTGATGCTGATGCTGATGCTGATGCTGATGCTGATGGTGTTAATGATGCTGATGATGATTATCCTCATCACTATTATTAGTATTATTACGGTGGTGGTGGTGATGATGATGATGCTCTGTGGCGAATCCCGCAGTCCGAATCCGACGATGACGACGACGACGAACGAAGCCAGACGGCGACAACCCCCGAG